GGGAGTGGTCAATTTGCATTTCTTAGTGCCCACGCTCAAAGAGAGGTGGCAAAGCCCAGTATAGGCCAGATGTTTGCATAGGGAAGTATCTGAATTCCAGCATTTGTCAACAAGTGTTCTTTAAGAGCCATGATAGGGTATCCATGGAGGCGTTTCCTTCCTCATTATCATAGGATTGGAGAGTCCATCCTTTTAGATGTATGGTCAATTGCCTTTAGGTAGCAAATGCTAAAAGCCTGTTTTCAATGGTGTTCCCTGAAATGCTAAAGTTCAAACACAGCGTTGCCGGAAACTCCAAAGGACAGCCGACAACATCCCACAAAGGTAGGAAGATGAAGGACAGGAGGTGAATTTCCTACAGCTTAAAATACCTGATATCCGGTTTTAAGAAATAAAGTCTATTTTGCTTTATTTTCAAAGTATTATTTATGTAGACTCTCAGAGACCTCAAAAGTCACTTAAACACAGAAACTCTTTTTCCTCGTGTACATACCGATAAGCAGCTGGTGACGGCGATAAAAGAAATGAAGCTGAACGTGACAAGGGTTTGCCTTTGTCACAACAAGGCGAGTGAAGGGAGATCACAAGACTCTCAGGCAAAAGCGCACACGGGAGCTCCAGCCTCTTTACTAACACTCATAGCCCGCTGGGATGCACGCTGAGATTACAGAGGCCCATGTCCAATGCGCACTGGGATTACAGAGGCCCATATTCATCAGCATGTTGAGATGAAGCCTTCTGCAGTGCTCTCTTCTGCTGTCTTCCAAACAAAGCAAGGCCCCTTCTCTCACCCTCAATCTGAGACTTGCAATGATTGTCCAAACTCACTCTAGAACCCACCAGTGGGGGTGGCAGGGATAAGTCAGCAGTACTTATCCTTCCTGAGTACTGTCAGAGCCACTGTCATTGACACTGTTGACTGGGTTTTAACACGGACCCCTTCAGTGTCGCTGTGGGGGAGGATAAGAACGGCTTGAAGCTAGGCATATAATTTTAACATGATTCGGTTTTGTGTCAGTCTGATTTGATTTGTTATGTGGAAAAATAATAATTAGCTCACAGTCTTCAGTGAGACCAACTTACTTGGGCAAAGCTGTAGAGCTCCCTGAGGTGAACAGATAGGGCTTAATTTCCCTCAGACTGACACAGAGCAGGACATGTAACATCAGACATTCAAAGCTTTAGAAATGCTACAGTTCAAATTCAGCGCAGGGAGGGCAGACTGCTGGGAGTCCCTATCTGACCTCCTTGATACAGTTGAAATAACTGCTAATTTGCCCAATCTGAGGACCAAACTCATCCTAGCCAGCCAGATCAGGCTACACAGCTGTGCAGTCATCTATGTCGTGAGACATTAATATTTGGGACCACCCAGATCTCTACAGCTGAACTTAGTACAGATTTTGGAGTATTTCTGCAACAATACTGGAAATTGATAAGAAGAGAGTATAAGAACCAGTAGCTGTCAATACTCAAAAATATCTCACACACTCCGGGCCCTCCTCAGCATATCATGACTTTCTTATTGGAAAAGTTCAATAAAGTGGGTGACGGGACTCACCACTGGTTTCTCAGAGTGTGACAATTCTACTCACAGACAGGGAAAAAGATGAAAGGGGAAAACCCCATCTCTCAGTGCTTCTCCCTTGACAAAGGGTAGAAAACAGAAAGATGTGTTTCCATCAAACAAATGAAACCACATTTAATTAGACAAACAGGCCTGTCTACTTTAATCTCCTTCGTAGGTACAAAGTGTTCACAAAAATTTTAATAGAAAAAGAAACTTTTTTTTTTTTAGCCTAAATAAAGGCATCAAATCACACTACAACGGAATCCTAACACAACCTATAATTGTGGTCAGCCAACCACGAGGCATTTAATTCTGTTAGTTTTCTTGTGGTGTCCTTGACACTTGACCTCCTTCAATCTTTCCCCATCCCCCTCTCCCACTGGATTCTCCAGCTCCACTTAACGTCAGGCTGTGGGTCTCTGCATCCGTTTCTAAGCTGCTGGGCGAAGCCTCTCTGGTGACAGTTATGCTAGGATCCTGCTGTTGTAGTCGTTAACTAACCTAGACCCAGAGGGGCTCATAAAGACTGAACCGCCAACCAGAGAGCAAGCATGGGACGGACCTAGGCCCTCTGCACATCTGTAACAGTTGTGTAGCTGGATCTTCATGTGGGACTCCTGAAGCAGGAGGAGGAGGATACTGCCTGCCTTTGGACCCTTTTTCCCTGACTGGGCTGCCTGATCTAACCTCAACAGAAGAAGATGCACCTAGTCTTACTTCAACTTGATATGCCAAGGCTGGCTGATATCCATGGGAGGCCTCCCCTTTTCTGAGAAGGGGAGGAGGGGTAGACGGGAAGAGGGGTGAGAACAGGAACTGAGAGGAGAGGAGGGAGAAGTTGCAATTGGAATGTAAAGTAAATAACTTAATCGATTAAAAAAAAAACAAAAAAAATAAAAAAAATAAATGACTTTTGTATAGCCAAGCTTCTCACACTATAAATGAGGACTGATACCAAAGGACCTTAATTTAAAAATATATGACAATATGAGCAAGTATACTTGTATTATAAGTAAGTAAATATAATGGAGCAAAGGGCATAATATATTTTTAAACTTTCCTACGGGCTCGAAATGGTGTATTATATATTGTATGTCTCGGTGTCAATCACTTAGGTAACAAATGTCTAACCAATAGTTAAAATTACTCAGTAATGTTTCTCAATTAAAATGATTCTAACATGTTGTTTCTAGCCATTGATCAGTGAATTTCAGTCCTATTATCACAAATTCTAAACAGCTTCAAACTCAAAAATGAAAGTATTTAGCATTAGAGACCAATGTGTTTGTGCTGTGTGTACCTTTGCTACCCTGCCTAAGCTCCAGGAATGGGCTTCACTACCAGCCCCTACCCAGTTTCCCTTGAACCCACTGATAAAAGACACATACACAGGTTGCTCATTTTCAACTTACCTTCTGACACAATTGTTGGGCAACACTATCTCCCACCTAGAAGAGTGTACCCTTCAATATTCTTATCTCGGCACCTCCCACCTGCTCTAACTTTAGTTGGTCAGTTGAATCTAGTCCCTGCTAAACATCCCTGACCACCCGCCTATAGGAGCAGCCTGTGTGGCCATTCCGTTTCAAGATCTTACACGACTGGTCAACTTTTCTTCATCAGAAGTATGGCGAACTCTGTCTCTCCTCCCCTTGAGTCTTTCTACTAGCTTCCAGGGACCTGGAAGTCCCACCTATCCCTCCCACCCAGCAATTGGCCCATGGCTTCTTTACTGACAGATCAAGAACCAATTGGGAAACAGGACCTCACCATCAGACCCGTCCCTACGTGTTTGCACTTTCATGAGATATAGATCACTCTCCATGAGAACCACATAGTACCATGATCTAAACTGGTCACATCACAGACAGGGTGCTGCTGTCTTGGTGGCCTTATCTGTTTTCTCCCCTTCCTTCCCTCTGCTACTTCAGCATCTGTGTGTCTTACTTTTCACTCCTCTAGGTGGTTTGGAAGAGAATGTCCCCCACTGGCTCATGTGTTTGAACACCTGGTCCCCAGTTGGTGGCATTATTTGAGGGAGGTTTAGGAAGTTCCGCCTTCTAAGAGGAAGTATGTCACTGGGGTGGGTTTTGAGAGCTTAACATCTTACCCTACTGCTCGTTTGTTCTGTTTCAAGCTCGCTGCCAAAGATGGAGCCTTTAGTTTCCTGTTCCTGCCTGCATGTCTCTCCACCACCGTGATGGTAACTGACACTTGTCCTTCTGGAGCCATAAGCCCAAATACACTTCCTCTATAAGTTGCCACGGTTAGTGTTTTATCAGAGGAATGGACACAGGGCAGAGCTGAGACGCTGCACAGGAACCTTTCTTGTGTTCTTCGTTCATGTCTCTAGTAAAATGAACCTGTCCCCTGACCTGACCTCCAAGTGTTACCTCTCTGACGCTGAGAACTTAGACCACCAATGCCTTCTGTGCCTCTTTTTGTTCAATAGGCTTTGTGGAGCAGCAAGTGGGTGCCGAGGACTGGCCTAGGTGTGAGGATGAAGTGATGAACAAAGCAATCTAAGCCCAGCTCTCCATCCAGGGTGGAATGGGAATGAGCAGAAAGGCGAGTCTTCTGGAAAGAAGTGAAGCACATAGGTGTGAGACATGGGAGCAGCCTGGGAAGTGGGGGGCCGTGGGGGGCGATGGGCATGAGGCATCCTGCATCTACTTTCACTTGTAAAGGAATCACTTGAAATAGAATATTTTGGACACTAAAAATCACCCCTCACAACTTTCTATCAATAACAACAACAAAAAAGGTTAAGCTTTTTAACCAAACTTCAAAGTATTCCATCCTGCTCTGGGTGGACAGTGAACTACAGCCCTCAGGAAGGAAGAGCAAGTGACCTTATCAAATTGTAGAATCACATTCTTGAGCAACTCCTCGTTGATGCTAAAGAAGGATGTTAAAATCATAATAATTCTTGATGAGTAAAAAGCATGAAACTTCTGGACATGTCAGAACCAATGGGCTCAGGGGCCCACATAACTCCCCCCCTCTCCTGCCCCTGTCAGGGAACTAGTGGTTGTTGATGGCTGCTGGGGACCATCAGTTTTCTTCAAGAGGGGAGCTCTTGAGAGGTTGTCTGTGTTCCAGTAGATGGGCCTATACCCATACACACATGGGCACTGCTAATTAGAATTAGTGAGTTGTAAGTAAGTAAGTAAATAAATGACATTGTAGGGGGACATAGTAAGGGTGTTGGAGATGAGCTACAAGTTGGGAATAGGTAGATATGATCAGAATACATTGCATACATGTATGGGAATCTCAAAGAAAAATAAAGCACTCTGTTAAAGACCTTGAAGACTCTTTGTTATAAGGACAGGTCAATTCTGAGCCATTATGATGGGGCTGGGAGCTCAGAGCACACAGCCCCTGAGACACTGTAGAGAGCTGCAGACAGAGTAAAAGACGACACCACTCCAACAGCTTCCCTCTTTATTAGTGTTTGAGAAGTGAATCTGAATGACATCTAATAAGCACAACACAAGAGGAAACACCTAACTTGCACATGTAGCATATATAAGCATATACATTATACGGATTTCATAATCCCCATCTAAACAGGAAAAGAACAACTTTTTTTTTATAGCTCAAAAATAACTTCCGTGTTGGCATTGCTGTCTCTAACATACAGTACTGAGTATTATTAACAGGAAGAACTACAGACTCGCAGGCTCACTACAGTTGTGGATTTTATATTATGGTATAAATAGCTTTTAAGAAATCATCTATATAATAAAATAAGTTCACTTTTGAATTGCAGCAGTCATTTTCTTCAATCAATAAAAATATTCCTTGATTATAAAGCAGCTTGAGTTTGCAAATATATTTCAGGAAAATAACTCTATTTGAAATACCACACTTTTTAAAAAGGCAACAAAGTGACCAGATTTAGATTTAAGATAGTATATTGCAAAATAGTTCAGCACAGTATATGTCTGAGCAAAAAGCAAGTTCCATTCAGAAGGATACTTTTAATTTCATAAAACAAACTGTTCCAATATTTGTGTGGTAGTTTCAAGTCTAAATATTTACAATAGTGGATGACTTTTTACACAGAACAGGCCAGAAACTTCAATACATAACTACAAGACAAATGTGTAACATTATTACATCACTATCATGAAGCCTAGTTTAACATGGGCCCAAGACAATGAATGATCAGCATGGCTCTGCAGCTGTGTAGTGGGCACAACTCAGCAGCTCCAGCTCATCTCTGACCCCACCCCAAGCCCAGACACCACGAACATCCACACAGATAACACACCCTGCCCAACACATTTTAATTTACTCTACTCTGAAATACTTCTTTAAAGTTTTTTATATCCCAGGAGGAAATGAAGGCAAAGTCTCAAAAAGTAAAAAGTGCAACATGTTTCAAAAGTGCTGTGCATGTCGGGAACGTACAATGTTAAATAAGTGTGCAAAAAAGGTTCTACCTTGAGTTCACAAGCTTAACTGCAAGTCTCTGGTAGTGTGTACAGGTGGGGTGGTTGAGCAGCAGAAGGGAAACCTGAGAGCACACTGTGTGCCGAGGCATGCACTGAGTCAGAAGACCCATGTTTACGCTCAGCTCTGTTAACCAGCCAGTCAGTGGTTCTGGTGAAGGGAATCCTATCTCTGTGGTTGAGAATGGGTATGAGGTGAAGCCAGACATCACCCAGGGGCCCCTCCTTCCAGGTTCTAACTGCTCACAGGAGCCTATCCCCGGAGGGCAAGTGAGCCTACCATATATAAGATACACCAGCTGTCTAGTGACTGCTCTCTAGGTACTTTTTAGTAACAAACCACAGAGGATGGAAAGGAACATTCTAGAACACCTGGATAGGAAACAGGTCATGTGAACGTCATGAAGTGGGAGGTGACAACTTTCACTATGTGAAGAACCTAACACCTTGTGCAAAAATGAAGCCAGATGGCAAAGTAACCACAACATATTGCTAAGTAGCAATTTTTTTTTGAGTCCCAAAATTTCCTAGGGACCTAAAGTTTCTAAAAAGTGCTTATTCTGAAATTATTTTCAAAAGAACCATGACCCTCAAAGTTCATACTTGTGTTCCTTTGGAGATTTTAAGAAGATTGCTCTATTTTTAGCTTTCCCATAATATATAGCTAAGTAAAGTAAACCCTTTGAGATAGATCCTATTTTTCATCTAACACATACACATATGCAGAGAAGCTCAATGCTTTAGGCGGTTAACTCAACAACTCTCATCGATGAGCTTTGACCCACTAATCCCTCGGTAGGTCACTCGGCTTGGTCTAACCAGCACTCCGTAGTTTGGCTTACAGGTGAAATAGCGCTTGTCACCCACGGCACCGTCGTTTTTCCCCTTGGCACTTCGGAGCTCCAGTCCAAGCCAAATGCCCGAGGCAAAGTCCGTGGGACCCACGTACCTAACCGTGGCCATTTCATTAGAGCTCGTAAGCAGGACCTGAGACCCCTCATGGAGCTTCATGGTCCCCTCCAGACCACCCGCCGTGGTAGAACTGCTCCAGCTGCGGCGCAGGGTCTTGGTCCTGTCCAGAAGGGAAAGGAAGAATTGGACTTAGATACTGGAGTCGCTGGATGCAATTTCTACATCCATTCCTGCTGCCACCTCCACGTTCATTTAATTTACAAAAGAGAAAAGTTTATGATAACAACTTTATTTTATTTTTATTTTTGAGCAGTTAAGTATTAGTTGTTTTTATTATTAAGTTTTACTTTCCTATCCCTCAGAAGAACCTTAATTATAGGTGGAAGACTTGTTCCAAATGCCCTTTCTTTTTATTTTTCTATTGTCATAAGATAATATCCTTTATTTTAATGCCACCATTTCTCCTTAATTAAACATAGAAGGCAATTTCCATTCTTACAGTAAAAGGACATTTGGAATTTTTTCTTTATTTTTCAGAGTATAATTTTTAAAATTGGAAATAGCCGTATTAGGAATACATTTCCAATTTCTAAAAGTTTTTCTCTTTTGAATCTTTGAACACCACCCAAAAAAAATTCTCTCACTCTCCCTCTCTCTCTCTCTCTCTCTCTCTCACACACACACACACACACACACACACACGAGAGAGAGAGAGAGAGAGAGAGAGAGAGAGAGAGAGAGAGAGAGAGAGAGATTCAGAGAGATTGATTGATTTCAGTAAACAATTAGGAAAAACACATATAACTTTAGTATCAGTAAGTTAAAAGAAAAGGAACTGGTATTCTGAATGTGATTTCACTTTAAAATATTTTTACATGAAAACAAATCTTAAAACCTACAACTTTAGAAAAGAAATTTTAGATAAAGATATAGGTCTTTCCATGGACTCCTTACCTTCCCTTCTGCAGCAGGAGAGTTTGGGCTCTGCTGCATAGCAACCCTGCCTTCTATACACAGCATCTCCTACACAGCAGGCACCTCTTAGCACCTGCCAGCTACCTGACTGGAACAAAACAGGCCTGAGACTGCACTGCCCTCAGGACTCCCTCCCTACCCATACTGCCCCCAGGACTCCCTCCCTACCCATACTGCCCCCAGGACCCCCTCCCTACCCATACTGCCCCCAGGACCCCCTCCCTATCCATACTGCCCCCAGGAC